GATATCATTATATCGTGACATCACAGTAGGCCTGTTCGTTAGGATTTTTGACAAATAAATTTAATAATGACATGCCGTCAAAATATTGAAAATTTATTAACGTCGTTTTTATTAATCAAGCCAGTTTTGAGGATCCCGACAATGAATCAAATGATCTGAAGAACAACAATTAAAAGTCGAAGAAGAGACTCTCATTATTTAGAGCCACGTATAGTTGCCTGGCAAAACTCATTTTAGCAAATGGAAACCCTATATTTCGACGGATTTTTTAATAAGACTTTTGACTTTTGACGGGATTTTATTATGGTTCGAGATTCGACGGTTTTGCCAATAAGATTTATTATAGTTTTGCCAGTGACCCCGTCGAGATCCGAGAGTTTGTCAGGCGACTATAGTTGTTATAATACATTATTCAAATAAAAAAAAAAATTCTTAAAATTTGTCAAATTGGACTGTCATTTAAATAGTTAAATCAATCTGGGCTTATTATTTTTTAATGTCGACGACAGTAATCACGAAAATCCGTGAGTCCTACCTAGCTGTATATTAAGCCATAAAACATTGAAAACTTCCATTAATCAACTCTTTTTCTTTTATAAAATTCTTTCCTTCATGATAAGAGATCGCTTAAATTCTCTTGAATTTCTAGAGGAATGTGAAAATTAGACTAAAATGAGTACGTAATTATCACTTATAATCTTAATAAGGATCATTACTTTCAGTGAATTTGGACGCAATCGTAAAGGCCTATATATTTAGTCTCCTTTATAAATCAACTAAACAACCCAGCCTTTTTTCTTTTAACTAAATTTTTGGGGGAAGAATTTATGAAGAATTTCGCTTCGTTTCGTTAGTATAAATTTCGTATTATTTATATAAGTTGTAAATTACCATTTAAAGTTATCTAAAAACGTGTTTTTTTTTATATGATGGAAACGGGATGAACTTGGTATTTATTAACTCGCGATACGTTCATTTCATTGTATTAGAATGTTGAAATCATACTTTATTCAAAAAAAGTTAAATTAGTTCTCGTAACATTACAAGGAATAGTTATAATTGAACTTAATATTGCATGAAAAAGACAAATTCCAATATTGCATCAAATTTAATAATTCTGAGGTGATATTTGGGCAATTTTATCTTTTTTTGGAAACAAAACAATCTCCTAATTTTTTATATCCAGCGTAGTAAGGTACAAGGTTCGCTTAAAAGTTCTTCCAAATGTCCTTACATTGCACTTGAGTTATAAAAAAAACTCCCATTTAAAATCTTTTTTGACTTTTTTTTGTTGATTTAGATGGAAATTTCTATTTTCAGAAAACAATTATATTTTTGGTAATCATTAGGCGCAGCTATTTCGCATTATTATAAATAATTGGTGAAACGAGTTATCATAAAAAAATATTCCCTCACCTATTTATTAAATACGGTATTAAACCTGAGAAAATGACTACTGACAGTCTTAATTTTTCTATCGATCCTTTGTCTAATTCTCAACTTAAGAACGAATCATACAAGTCTTCAAGCGACGACCATTTCGCTTTTGATAACGACTCATCTACCTCAGACATCACCTTCTTTACTATCAAACAGGAAAACTCGGATTCTATGTCTTCGGATTTTATCGACATCGAACAGAATTCAGATGTTACTAACACTGAACAAATTTCGGATTCTAAAAATACTGAACAAATGTCGAATCTTATTAACAGCTCTGAAGATATCATTAACTCGGATAATTTATCCAAACAAATTGATTCTGATACCACTACCACATATAAACAACTAGGTCCCACCTTGTTCTACAAAAAGAAAAGAAATGATGACTTTATTTATTTCGGTTATATTCTGAACTACAAAATTCCAATTATCGGGGTTCAAATGTCTTATCCTATAAAGTAAGTATTTTTTTTATTTTGACGAGTTCATTCTCTATAAAAATTATGAATTCGTTTGTTGATTAATTTTATTTAGATATATTCTTTCGAAATTTGGATTCTATGCGGGTGGAATTAAGAAAAAATCTATTGCTGCAAAGTTACAAACCTTTATTTATGGTGGACAAATCCCAAAAAATAGCCTTTTTGCAAATATACAATCCTTTATGAGGGATTAATATATATTACTGTGTTATTCTTTTTTTATTTATTTTATTTTTCGAATAATTTTGTTTACATTTTTTTTTTTAGTATCATGTTTTTCATAATTAAAATAAAATTGATTTAAAATACAAAAACTGCTTCTTAATTTTTACCGTTTTAATATTCTAGTACTTTAGATGAAGGTATTATAAATTTTTACTCAAGTAGTTCTTTTGAATGTTCGAATTGATGCTTTTTAAAAAAAATTAAAATAAATAGAATTTAATAAAATATAAATTAATATTTTAAATTACTAAATAGTCCGGAACGAAGCGAAGGACTTTCTTATACTAGCCACATGTTACACAAGGTTGTTCCGTTGTCCACCCGCTCAAAATTTGAGTCGATACGTGGTTGGTGCTCCGGACTTAACAATGGTTTCCGAAACCTTTCCCTAGTATAATTTAAGTTGCATAGCCTTTTATTGTTTTATAAATTAATATAAAAACTAAAAATTATATAAAAATATTTAGCTAGCTATAAAATTTTAAAACATTTTAAGACTCTGAATAATTCTCATATATTTTTACAATCAAAAATTAATATAATAAATTCTTGATATAATGATCACTTAATAAATTATCATTTAAACAATCTTTAAATATTAAAATATAAAAAAAAATTTCAGGTTTGAGAATTTTTTTACTAAATTAAAATTTGATTATTTTAATCTAATAATATAAAACCTAAAATAAAATAAAAATTAATAAATGCTTAATATCTGATTTTCTAGTAATATATCAAATTTATATATTGTAATAAATGAAATTTTAAAAAATTTTTATAATAAATTAGAAAGTGTTATAATTTAATTAAAATAAAAAGATAAAAATGTTTTCATTAGATTCTCTTATTAAGTTAAATCTAATAATATAATTTTTATTAAAATATCATTAATTATAAAAAAATCAGATATATAAAATTTTGAAAATTATTTATAATAGCTAAAATTTGTATATAAATTTTATATAAATTTTAAAATAAATTTTACTAATTATTAAATATAGTATTTAATATTTAGAAAAATAAAATTTATTATAATCTGTTTTATTTACTTTAGATATTATAATTATATAGAAAGTTAAGAAAATTAATAGAATAAAATGTTTAGAAAATATTATAATAGATAAAATAAATAGATTTTTTAAAAACTTAAATAAAGGAAATTAAATTTAATAATTAATTATAGATTTTGCTTTAGAAATATTGCTGTAAAATTATTATAAATTATTATAATTTTAATTGTTTAAGAAATTTATTTTTAATAATATTATTAATATTAATAAATAATTACATATTAAATATTTAGATAACTATTTTATCATATTTACATACTATATAAATTTGTATTTTTATAATATATTTAAAAATTATCAAGTTTAAATAATATTATGAAAGAAATTATTAATTTAATTACTTTTTTCAATGATTAACAATATAATATAATAATTTTAAAATAACTTACTGATGATATGTATTTAATAAAAATAAAGATAATATTGTCTATACTTTCTAAATTATTGAAGTTTAAATATAATATCTTTACTTTTAAAATTTAAATAATAAATAATATCTACTAATTCATCATAAACCTAAGTAGTTAAAAGTATAAGATAGTATTAAAATCAATTATATTTTGATCAAATATTATAATATATATATATTATACTTTTATATTTAGCAAAATATTAAAACTTCTATAATATTGCTAAAATACAACATAATATTTCACTAATATATAGTAATTGTTCACTTTATAAAACTCATTAACAATTACTTTTTCATTTTTACCTAATTTATCATATTCTTTATTATTATTTGGTTTATTATGATTACTTTTATTCTCATTTGATTCATTAAATTCATATTAATTAAGGTTATTTCATTAAATTTGTTTTCATCTTCATTACTAAGATTTTTTTTCTCATTAAATTTATTTTCATCATCAAGTTTATCTTTATTATCAAGTTTATTATATTCATTAAATCAGATTCATCAAAGATTTCATTTTAGTTTATCTTTCATATAAATATCTTTAGATACATTTCTTTTCTTAGATATTTGCAAAAATACCTATTAATTTATTATAATAGTATTTAAAATAAGTATAATATAGATTAAATATAATATAATAATTTTAAAATCTTTTATCAAGTAAAAAAGTTGTTTGAAAATTTAAAATCAAATTTACTAATAAAAATAAATAAAAGTAAAAATAATTTATTAAAGTATAAACTAATTTATTTGATTAATTCTTTTATAAAATTATATAAAATAAAATACTATATATTAATTAAGCTAACTGATTATAGTATATATTATCAAATTAAAAAAAATATATAAAAAATTATATTGAATAAAATAACTGATTATAATTTAAATTAAATTAAAAATAGTAGAGTTTAAAAAAAATCAAATTTTACTACTAAAATTCTAGAAAAAAAATATATTATCAGCTGAAAATCTGAAATAATTATTTTATCAGATTTTTTTAGAATTTTATAAAATTTACTAATTGTATTATAAATTTTTCATTTATATACTTTATTCTAAATTTGTAATGCCCTAATAAATTTTTAGCTATTTTTTTTAAAAAAAATCCAGTTTTATTTAAAAAAAGACAGATAATTTTATTAAATTATATATGTTAATATACAAAATATTTGTTAGATAAAATTCTAAACACAAAATTTATTATCAAGAATTTGTAATATTATTTTAAACTCTGATTGTATAAATTAAATTAGCTGATTATAGTCTAAATTAATTAAATAAATATAAATTAGCTGGTTATAGTTTAAATAAACTAAAAAATCAAACTTACTTTTTTAAAATATATGATAAGTGAAAAAATACTATTTAAAAATGATT